TATTAATGCTTTGCTTTGGTATGAGGGGTATCACACCTCCATGTCACTCCTGAGCAGCGCAAAGCTACATGGGAGGGAACCAAGGCCCTGTATCCTGGCCCTGGCCTGCCCCCTGGGTAAGAACACTAGTTTATAGGGTCTGGAGGGCTAGGGCAAACTCGGCACACAGTGCCTGCCCCCCTTGCATGAAGACCCCCCCAGAACCACAAAAGAAAGGATCAGAAGTCAAAGCATAGCCTTTTCAAATCAGGAGCAAATACACCTGAGACACCATAAAACAGAACCTCTTCCATGCCTTACAAAATGGGCCTCCCCAGGCCTGGGGCCTCAGAAAGACTGTTCTGCTAGGTGTGGACAGGGACAGAGGCTTTTTTTTTTTTTTTTTGGTACTGGGGATCAAACTCCATCATTGAGATTGAGAGGCAGGTGGTGGAACCACTGAACTAAATCCCCCACCCCACAGGAGGCCTTTCGCTGGGTTTGACAGTGATCCTGGGACCTTCAGCCTCAGGGAGAAGCAGGCAGGCAGGCTCTGCAAAGCTGGAACTGACTGGAAGGAGCTGGTTCTTCTGACCCCTGCCAGAGAGTGACATCACAGACTTGGCTGGAGGGTGTGGGGGTTGGGAAGTTTTTTCACTGAAGAGCCAATGGCTTCTCACCGAGGAAGACCAAAACACAGGACTGACTTGGAAAGAAGGAAATGTTGGGGCTAAGTTTCCTTGAGAGATGACTGCAGAGTGAGAAAGCAGATATCTAAGGGAGAGGCCCAGAGCGGTGCTCAGGACCAGGCTCTAGATAGGCTGAAGGAGTCAAGAGATAGCTTTGGTCAGGAGCTGAAGAACTCTGGACAATGGATGCTCTATCACCCTGCAGGGGTGTCTTGAGGTGGAGCCGTCAATGTGACGAAATGTAACAGAGGTCAGGAATGCCAAGAAATAATGCTGGTTCATAAGCATAAGGTCCTGAGTTCGATACCCGGTACCAAAAAAAAAGAAAAGAAAAAAAATAATGTTGGTGCTTCCTGTTCAGGATAATGGATAATCAGAAGTGTTGCCTCCTCCTCACTAAAATCATTATGCAACAGTGATAAATAGCAAAGACCAAAGGTGGCACCAGCAAGGAAGATGGTACCAACAACAAAGATTTCACTTCTGAGAGATACAGAATTGTGTTAGCAAAAAAATGGAAGAGAAAGCCACAGGGAGGCTAGAGAGGATGTGAGGGTCAGCCTGTCCAAGGGAGCTCCAGAAAGGCTCCCAGCTTTGAGGAAAGGGGTGAGTACCTGGGGGCTGTTGTACCTCCCGCACCATACACACTGACATGCTCATACAAGTGGGCTGAGTGGGAGCTCGGTGCTTGAGAAACAGTCTCTAAACAGAGCAGACACACAGTGTTCTGGCTGGGAGGAGATGTAGAGACCAAATATAGCCAGACCAAAGAGGGAAAGCAGCTGGGGTCAAGGGCATCTGCTCAATCCATGAAGGCAAAATCCTCCCCCATCTTCAGCTTCCAACGCAGAATGTAGCTTTTCAGCTACACAGCCCTGAAGAAGAAATGCTTCCCAGTAACTTTTCTACAAATCAGTTTAGTCCTTCCTTCAGAACCTACAAAAAGTCTCAATTGGATTCAAAGAGTTCCTGCATGCATGAACAGGTATGGAAGGAAAGAGGCATAATAAAAAAATAAGACATTATTTGACTTTTTTTTTCAGTGTTAAGGATCAAACTCCAAGGCGTTCTTACCACTGAGCTACATTCCCCAGCCCTTTTTATTTTTTGAAACAGTGTCCTTCTAAATTTACCAGACTGGCCTCAAACTTGTGATCTTGCCTCAGCCTACCAAGTACCTAGGTATGTGCTATCACATCTGGTTTGAGAATATTTTTTTTTTAAAGATGGCAAAATAAACACTTCTATAGAAAGCTAAACAGACTGGTTATGACTCACAACCAAGTCAGTTTTGTAGCAGATCATAGTGACAGTGGCTATATAACTCTAGGATCTACTAAAAATCACCATACACTTTATTTTTTGAGGTATTGAACCATGGGCCACATACATGCTAGGCAAACACTATTTGCACTTAAATCTTTATGTTAAACTCTATTTCTAGAAGAGCCCAAACCGAGGGCAGGATGCTGGGGTTTTTGTTTTGTTTTGGTTTGGTTTGGTTTGGTTTTTTTGGAGACAGGGTCTCACTATGTAGTTGAGACTGACCTAGAACTCACTGTGTGGCCCAGGCCAGTCTCGAACTCACGGCGATCCTCCAAGAGCAGGATACTTTTTATTTTGCATTTTTCTGACATGTTTGGAAAGAAGGGGTGAAGGAAGTAGGCGTCCTGGGTCAAGGTTACTCATATCAGTAGAATGGTTAGGGAATTCAATCTCAGGGTGATAACCGTGAAGGAGAACGCTAGATAACACATGTTGGGAAAGGGAAGTCACAAGTTCCAGGTTAGTGAGGTGAGCCCTTGCCAAGCCTACTAAGTGGTTCACTGCTTGAATAGAAAAAAGAACAGCCCCTGGTGTGGGGCAGCTTTTGGGGAAGCTACAAGCACCCTATTCAATTTCAATTATAATAAAATTAAAACTTCTAATTTTGCTGCTTTCTGCAAATAATACATCCCCTTTCACAAGACCACAATAAGAAAGGAACCGCTAAAGCTGAAAAGCCACCAAAATTGCTTGGGAAGAAAATTCCCAAACACAGGTCACAGAGACAGAGAAGTAAGAAGTACAATTGACCAGGATTGAATCTTTCCACAAAAGTTTTTACAAAGAACTGTACAAGAGTTGCTCTGCACTCCCAGAATGCACTGGCAGTCTTCAGAACACCTAAATGGCCAAAGACTGTGGCAAATTGGGCTGTTTGAGGCCAGTGGACTCTACAAGGGGCAGGATGGATGTAAAGTCAAAAAGCCAGCATGTTAAGTTTGCAGACGGTCAGGATGTTCTAACTAGATGGTCAGATGGATTGTTTTATCTTCAAACTATCAAAAAATAAATAAATAAACATATCTAAACAGAGCTACTTCAACATATTTGAAGACTATTGTAAATCCTGGGATCTCAGCAAGGACATTCAAATAGGAGCCACTTCCAGAAGTGGGGAAATGGTCTGTACAATTTCAAGAAGAGATTCAGAAGCTCCTGATGAAATGGTTGTATGTGCTAAGTGTGGCTGAGAGCATCATCTATGGTGTCATACACCTCATACTAATTCCAGTGTGACTGATTCAGATGAAAAATGGTTTCATTGACAGCACATTTTTCAACAATGAAAGAGGGGTGGGTGCACTTAAGAAAGGACCAAATGTCAAAGAATTGCAAGGTACGAAGCAGATACTACCCTTTAGTGTGTTAGACCTTGAATGAGACACAGATCATAAAACCAATGTCTATCAGTGCTTCAGCTATTGTGGAGGCCCTGGACACTGGTATTTAAAGATGCTACAGTGCCACAAATATAAGCAGTGATTTTTGCGAGGCTTGTGTCCAATACCTTCAGAAGCCAAGGCTATTTAGAGATAGACTAACACATTTGCAATTCTGGAAACTTCAGTCTCAAAATACTTAACACAAAAAACAATATAGAATTGACATTAAGGAAACACTAAACTTATCCCATAACCTCAATAACCCAGCATCTGAGGGTTATTTCTGGATTTTTGTTTCATTTAGTTTTTCCTGTTCTAAACAAGAAGTTTTACTTCATCTGACATTTTGTCAGAAGATATATCACAGAGAAGTTAACTTTTGGCCCAAGTAAAGAGTTTCATTCATTTTTTATTCTGGGAAGTAAAAATAAGTCATCTTCCCTGAGAAGGCCAAAATAACCCAATAATCAAATACTCAATATTGCTACCAATCACGAGTGGAAAGGAAAGTGTCTTTAATTTTCAAATCTAATCAAGTATTCCCCTGACTTCCCGTCCTTTTCCAGTCTCCCTTGACCAAGAAAGGACATGGGTATAACTAAGGTCTGGGAGAGGAATAAGCTCTTCTGATCTCTTTCTACCACTTTTTTTTTTTTTTAAGGCCTGCTTGTATTTATGGAAAGTCCAAATCCTGCAACAGATTTTGAGACTGGCCTCCAAAAATCAAGATTTGGGTGTAGCCACAAAAAAAGCTCAACACCAGTTTCTGTGTTTAAACAATAGCACACTTGTGCACTGGGGCTCACAATGTCCCCAGTGACCCTCCAAATGTGTTAATATTGTTTCATTTTTCTTCTCAAGGAAGGAGAATGCCTGTAAGAAAAAAAAAGGCAATTCTCAGCAGAGAAATCTATTATTAAGACTGCACGGTCAAACCACTTAGACACAGGCAAATTGTGAACCAATTACTTGTGGATATTCTTTCTTGGAACTTTACTCTTCTCTAAACCTAATATGGCAATGGGGCCTTTTGAGATGGGCTAGCAGAGGTCAGATGCAGGCCCCACAAAATCTTTAGAACCAGATGTACAACAGTCTTCAAAACTTACATCGTCTCTGAATTCATACTTGTTTACAAATGGCCTCCACATTGCAAGTAGGAGAGGACAGTGTGTTGAATCTCCTCACAACACTAGTCCTGTTTTTTTGAGCTTCATCAAGTGTCTATTTGTTTTTAGCTGAACATTGGCAATTTCTTTTCCACATGGCATCTATGAAAGAAACTTGAGTGGTAAAGGCTGTCTGTATATTCCATCACTGTGGTTACAAACCCCAAAATGGAAAATCCTGAGGATTATACAGTCACTCTGATGCTGTACCTTTCCCTATTTAAATACTTTTCAACTCAGTGCAAACAGAAACATAAATAATTTTTCACACTTCTCTTTGAAAACACTCAGCAGGAAAGCACTTTTGAGATTTTAAAAGTAAAGTTGAATGATCCATTGAAACAGAAAAATGTATCGTTCAATATTACTGAATGGATTCTGAGGAAAACAGCCGTCTGAAGGAAATGTAATCAAATATAGGAAAATAAAAAGATTATCACATGGCAATTAAAAATACAATTGCTTTATTTCCACATTTTATAGTCCCCAATATTGCTTCTGATAGGAATCTTCATCTCTAAAAACACAAAAATACTTCAAGAAAGCATATTACAAGATAGTACATATAAGCAATAGTTTGGCAGAATTTTATCAACTAGTTCATACCCCCCAAAAATGAATTTTAAAATTCAAAAATAACCATTAGCTTTATTTAACGTGTTACATCTTAACATTTAAAATATCATGCTCTAGTTAAATATTTCATCAACAACACTGTACAAATAAAATATTACACAAAATATATTTAAGAAAATGATTTGGTCTTTGATCTGAACAATAAATAAAAACACAGGCACTTCTACACTGCGACAGGGAAGCGATCACTACTCAGAATAATAATTTTGTATAAGCAACATGTGAAAATATGGCAAGAATAGAATCCTGGAGTTTTTAACTGACAAACCACTTAAAACATCTGTAACTGCCATCTTTGCACTTCAAGTTCTAAAGTTCTAATCCACACTGAAAATTTATAAACTCCTATGAATGGTTGTCAGGGGAGATTCAATCGTCAGCTGGCCATTGTGGAATCACACTTCTCATTTTCAAAATACTAAAATTACTCAACTATTGTGACATAACCGTAAGAAAAATTAAACTTCTTTTCATGATCATAAACCACAAGATAAACTTGACATCATACAGTGATACTTATTTTACAAAATTAACTAATTATATTAACGTAAGAAAATACTGATGGGGTGACAGGAAACTTTGATATAATCCATTTTCTAAACAATTTTTAAAATTCATCCTCGTCTCAGCTGGGTGTAATGGCACATACCTGTAATCCCAGCATTCGGGAGGCTGAGGCAGGAGGACTAGCCATCGAGTTCAAGGTCATCTTCAACTACATAGCAAGTTCAAGGGCAACCTGGACTACATAGTGAGACCCTGTCTCAAAAAATCAAAACCAAAACCAAAACGAACAAACAAACAAAAACAAAATTCACTCACATCTCATGAAAATAACATAATTCCATTTCACAAAAATCACTGAGTCATGAACAACAAAATTTTGGTAGCCAATGAGTTCACAAATACCTGAATTACAGATAAGTCAGTCATTATAATGGAAATAAGAATATTCTCACATAGAGGGACAAAAACAAAAATAACTTACAGTGGTCAAACTCTAGAAATATGATTCAGATGAGAGGGGCAATTAGAAAACTATGACCATTAGCCAATAGAAAGGATTAGAACCAATCACCTTGCCATATCCTCCATAAAAAATTGTCATCTGCTTTCCCTCGTCACAAAAGTACCAAATTGAAAGGCCTAGAGGCCCTCAAATGGATACTACTTATAAAGGCAATTCTGATGATTTAACATACAAATTATCTAATGTGAAAAATACAATATGGGAACTAGTCCAGATACACCTTTCTATGCAAAATTTAGCTTGTACAGTTTAGCATTTTAAATGAGCACTTTGTAACCTCAACCAAATATCAATCATCTCCTGAGGTTTTCTACTATGTACTAACATCAAATCTACGTAGGAACAAATGTTATTCCTGTTTTTCTCCTCGATATCAAATGTCCTGAAGCCTTTGTGTTTCTCTGGAACGAGGCCAAGTTTCTGAAGGCACATTCCAGTATAAACATCATCAATGGGGTAGAGATGGACCCGGTCAGTGATGTTGTATAGCCTCAGGGCCAAGTGGCCAGAATAGAGGAATCCACCTCCCCCTGCATAAGGTGGGTAAACCCCAGAGTAAACAACTTCTGGGATGTAGTATTTCAGTTTCTTATCTCGATGGGGCCCAGCATTGTGGATCACGTCACCTATAAACAAATCTTCAGCTTTGCTCTTGGATAAGCTATTCAAGTAATTCAGGATGTGATGGGTGTTCACAAAAACATCGTCATCGCCCTTGAAAACAAACTCAGTGTCTGGGCAGGAAGTACTCACCCACCTGAGAAACAGCACTTCCTTCAGAGACAAGTTGAAGAAAGTGTCTCTGTAGTTCCACATAAGAATGTCTTGGTGCTTCTCACTCTCAAATTTCAGCATATCTGAAAGATCTGGATGGTTGTCCTCTGGGGGTGTCTGGCCCAGCAAAAAGACTCGCACCACTGTCTGGTTCCCCACATTGGTTTCTCTGCCCCAGGACTCCCGAATTGCTTGTCTTCTGGCAAAATGTGGAGTGAGGGACTTAATTGCCAGCAATAAGAAGGGTTTCTTTGCACATTTATTTGGTTGATCTATAATCAGTGAATAATTTCGACATCTCAAATATAGGAGAAAGTCTTTAAATCTGTCTGGCAAATTGTTAAAATCTGTTATAAGTGATGTGACCCTCAGGTCAGGTTCACAGTAATTCAGATGGCTTATATTTGAAGACCCATATCCATCCCCTGTCTGGTTGGCCAGCATGCTCAAAATGGGATTGTACCGCTTGTTCAGCTTTTCTTGTTCTCTGTTCCAGTATGCTTGGGGAGGACTAGATATCTTCCAGAACTTTTCTTTGGGTATTATTACTTCCCCTTTTCCATTTTTTTCTTGGCTACTGCTTTTGGAGACTTCCACAATCAAATAAATGAAGACGTTTGCCATCATCAGGATACCCAACAACTTTATTCTTCGACGTCCAACACTCATTTCTCATATCTGGAATAAAAGGGAGGGAAACATTATATTAATTAGATAATTACTCATTTGCACGTACATTTTACTTGCCTTTTTGTCTCCCCAGGAAGAGAAGTTTGGAGCAAGGGCTTTACAATTCAAATCACGGCCCTTCCTCTCTAGCTTTGTGACCTTCCCAGTAGTATAATTGAGGTCTCACTTGCTTAATTTATAAAGTAGAGGTAAACCCACTTTCTACAATGGTTGTGAGAAATCTATGTTGTTTTACACAAGCTTTTAAAATTATGCCTGGTAGACAGATAACAGCATTGTTGTTTTAGACACCCCAGGAGCTGAGGTAAGGATATTCAACCTCACAGGTGTTCAACTTCTTTGCTTACAAAGGTACATACAAATCAGAACTTTGCAGACTGATTTGCTTGTAATTCATAGTAACAAATGTGCTTCATATTGTGATCCAATCAGCACACATATATTATATGTGTCATACTGTACAGTTGCATGTCATTTGTCCCAGGTTTCTATTATATTTAAATAAAAAAATACTAGTCTGAATTACTCAAAAACCCACTATTTTATGGACAAGGAAACTTTGGAAGAGGGTGTATGATGCTTGCTCAGGTGCAGGGATAGGAAGCCAAGATGACATTAACCACCCTGCATATTCAGAGAGATAAAAAATACTCATAAACAGCTTTAATAACCCAAAACTGAGAACTTTAGGAGAAATGGTTGTTATATATTCATACAGTAAACTACCCACCAGCAATAAAAAGGAAAGCTATTATTATCAGCAACATTGCATTACAACCAAACCCCAAATTTCAATTATGTATACTAGCTTTAAGAATAGGCAAATTAGCTTGTCATGTGACAAGGCCTGCAGTGGAGGACTTGGCAGGCTCCCAGGTCCTAGGACAGGGTGGGCAGCCAGTAGAACAGAGGTGACTTTAGAGCAGCGCTTGAGGAGACAAGAAGAATCTGTCCCTAGTTGGAGTCTGTGTACAGATTCACAAGGACTTGATCCAGTTGCCCTGGGGCCCTGTCAGATGAGCATGCTGGGGTGACATATGTTTTGCCTCAGCAAGCAGCTAAGCTGACTGCTGACCCTACTGATACTCCTGTGCTGTGTCTGAATCAGATAATGGGAACATTACGATCCAGAAACATAACAGCATCATGATGGCAGTACACAAAATGGGCTCTTGACATCTGTCATTTCCTCAGCAGCCTCTCATAGGGACTCAGTCATACCTATTAATTGTCTTGTAAGACTCTAACGGTTCCAGTGGTTAGGCCACTCATCTGATAAGTACTGGGCGTTTCAAATTTTTAGAGTAACTTGCTTTCTAACCAACCTCTTAGGATATTAGAAGGAAAGGATCATATTTTGAGGCAGCTCCCAGTTACTTTGTATACAGAGTTTTATGTTCAGTAAATCTGGGAGTGGGAGGAGTAGGCAAAAATAAGCCAGGCTGCTCACATCCAAAAGCAACAAGGAGGGGCTTAGGATTTAGCTCAGTGGTTCTGCTGACTGCTTCGCAAGCATAAGGTCCTCAGTTCAATTCCCGGTACCAAAAAAAATAAATAAATAAAACATAAGTAAAAAGAAAACAAAAGCAACAGGGTTTGAGGTTGGGCAAAGGGCAGGAGGGACTTTCTGGGTTATAGAAGGTACTACGCTTATGTTGATCAGGGTGAGAGCTTCATGGATGAGAATATATTTGTCAAGATCTCAACTGTGTATAGCAAAAAGAAAAAGAGAAATGACATTTCAGTGAAATATCGAAGAATTTCGGGCGGTAGCAACACAAGAACAAAGAATATGGAAATGTCTGTGGGGGACAAGTCCAAGATTCTAACACTACTGCAATGGGTGACCACGGGAGCTATTTAGCCGACCTGAGATTAGAAGGCACTTCCCTCCCCCAAAAGTAGAATGGCAATATACTATAAGGACCAGAAGGATTTTATCATCAGGTTAGTATGACAATTGGGAACTTAATCCTTGGGTAATGTTACTTTTATTCCCATTTTATATCTAAGGTAACATATTAGAGAAGTCAAGGCAGAGCAGAAATCCTAACCAAGGCCATGGGATTCAAGCGGCAACTAAACTCCAACTCTAAAACAATGTTGTCTATTTTTATCAAGAGCAGTATTTATTTTTTAAAAATAGAAGTATATTTTTAAATTCATTGGGTTCTAACAAATAATTCAACTAGAAGATTATCTGTCATGCTGAGAATGCTGTGAAGCTATTATGTGCTAGACCGCCCCATCAGATCAATAGGAATTCACAGCTATTTTGTGTCTGTATCATTATCATCATTATTATTATTGGGATACAACTCCGGGGGCGGGGGGCACTGTACCAGTGAGCTATATCCCAAGCCCACTTTTTTTAAATTCTGAGAAAGGGACTCACTAAATTGCCTAGATGGGATTTCAATTTGTGATCCTCTTGCCTCAGCCTCCAAGAGTGCTGGAATTACAGGTATGCACCACTATGTGCCCTTTCGTTTCCTATTCTAGAAATCTTTTTTTCCCCCTTTTTTGGTACCAGGAATTGAACTCAGGACCTTGTACTTACCACGCAGGCGCTGTGCCCCTGAGCTAAATCCTTGGCCCTATCTAGTAAATTTGGGGGGGGGTACTGGGGCTCAAATTCAGGACCTTGGGCTTGCAAAGCAGGTGGCGGAACCACTGAGATAAATCCTCAGCCCTATCTAGCAAATTTTAATCTAGTGGCTTGTGTGTTACTATTGCTAAACAGCTTCAACTATCAACATAGTCACAGATCAAAAATATTAAAAGAAAAAAATTGGGCCAGGGATTTGGCTCAGTGGTTCTGCTGCCTGTCTCACAAATGCAAGGACTCAAGTTCGATTCCTGATACAAAAAAAAAAAAAAAAAAAAAAAAAATTCCCATACTAAACAGGTTCCCCTTTGTTATTCTTCCCCACGCAGTATTTACATAGTATTTCCATGGTATTACATATTATAAATAATCTTCCTATGATTTAAGGAATATGGGACAATGTACATGTGTTATATGCAAATACTATACAAGAGACTTGAGCACCCATGGATTCTGGTATCTGTGGAAGTTTCAAACCAAACTTCCACAGATTCTGACACACACGTACCAGTAAAGGAGTTTGTTTAGTTATTTTACTGTATTTCTTCAGAGACAGAATGTCACTCTGATGCTTAGGCTGGCCCTAAATTCCTGGACTCAAGCAATCCTCCTGCCTCAACCTCCCACGTAGCCAGGGCAACATGAGTGTGCCACAGAACCTGGCTTGTCTGCTTTTCTTTTTAAAAACCAGCCCCTGCCCCAAACCTCCAGCTCCCCAAAGCCTTGCACATCTAGAAAGCAGGGCAGATCAGAAAGGGACACAGGTGTCCTCAGTTCACCTAAGCAAGCAGCCCTCCCACTGGCACCCTGTCTCCCTTCGCTACCACTCCCCAATCACTACCCACATCTAACCCTCCACCATCCACCACTGACCCAGCAAGAAAAAAGACCCTTCTTATACTTTCCTCCAAAGAAAAAAGCCACCAGACATTTCTTACACCTTAACTGGAGTTTTAGAGTATTTCAAATTACACAGCTTAATAATTTCAAACCATTCTACACCTAAATCTGAGGTCCACAGCCTCCTCAGGGTCAGGTCTTTCCAAATGAGCTCTTCAGCAAATTTTATGAGCTCTCTGAAGGCAGGCAACCTCAAGTGTTCTGCTATGGGCTTTACTTGTGTAATATGCAAGGTAAAGTATTTGCATTGATTTACAAATATATTTGTGAATTTGTAATGTATTTGTGTGGATGTAAAGAGCTTGTCATCTCTTTCAGAAAATGAATCATAGATACATTTAAGCTTTTTTTTTTTTTTTTAACTTCCAGATTTGAGATGAAAGAGTTCTCAAAAATAAATGGTTCTAGGGCTGGGGATTTGGTTCAGTGATTCTGCTGCCTGTATTGAAAGTGCAAGGGCCCAAGTTCAATCCTTAGCATCAAAATAAATAAATAAATAAATAAATAAATAA